ATAAATATATAAATGCATTATATTTATAAATGAAGAAACTAAGCAAGAGGCTGAATAAGTTGTGATGTAATATGGGAAGTTAGAAACACAAAACTAAGATTGAGGGGCTGAAACTATTTACATCTTAGGTTGATACTTGAATATATGCTGATTTTATATTTCAGGGTAGGTGTGATATACAAAAAGAAACTAGTAATTGTCCATGAATTGGATACCTGTGCTTTCTAATATGGAGCCTTATAACTAAGGAACTAAAATTAGTTTACCTTGTTTTTTCAACTGTTGCCTTTCTGAATATTTTTGTAGTAGAAAATAATGAAGCCAGTTTTCTTTACCCATCTGTATTTCTCTAGCTGTATACCAACTTGAAAAGTAATTTAAAGCAGCACTGCATTATTGTAGACAGTTTCAGTATAGTCAGAGTAGATGCTTCTTGGATTATGGTATCCCTAGCATTTTCCCTCATGCAGTAGGGCAAAAGAATCTTTAAAAAAAAAATCCTGCTTATGGGGTGGTTGGTGGCACATGTCTGTCATCCTAGCTGCTCAGGAGGCTGAGATCTGAGGATCATGGTTCAAAGCCAGCCCAACAGGAAAGTCCGTGAGACTTTTTATCTCCAGTTAACCACCAGAAAATTGGAAGTAGCACTGTGGCTCAAAGTGGTAGAGCATTATCCTTGAGCAAAAGAGCCTAGGGATAATTTCCAGGCCCTGAGTTCAAAACTCATGACTACTACCACCACCAACAAAAATTCCTGCTCAGTCTGGAGGCCGAGATTTCAGGATTGCAGTTTGAGGCCAGCCCATGCAATAAAGTCTGTGAGACTCTTATCTCCAGTTAACCACCAAAGAGCTAGGAAGTGGAGCTGTGTCTCAAGTGGTAGAGTGCTAGCCTTGAGGAAAAGAAGTTCAGGGACAGTGCTCAGGCCCTGAGTTCAAGCCTCAGGATAGGACAAAAAAAATATTTTTTTTAAAAAACGTGGCTATGTGGTATATAAAAGGAATTATCTGTGTTATAATTGTTTATGAATAATACAAGGAAATAAATACCTAAACATGTAATCTTTGCCTAATAGTTGTTTAGGCATGATGTCTGTTGAAATCAGTTAGAAGACTCTAGTGACTTTGGCAGACCAACTTTGGAAAGGTTGCCAGGGTTTAGAATAGCTAAGAATAGAGTCACTTGTTTTCTGGATGGTATCAGAGATGACTTTTGTAAGAGTGTGGTACTTTGAATTTCAGTTTTTCTTAATGATAACTACATTTCAGCATGGTATTTTAAAATAGTCTATAAGTTAGAGATTTCACTGGCGAACAGTAGGCAGAGGTGACTACAGAGAGGTATAGGGAGAATTTCTGGGGAGACAGAAATGTTCTGTGTCCTGATTTAGTAGAGGGATTACAAGATTTTCCATATCAAGAGCAACTGAAATGCTCGCATATTGCTAATAAGTATATAAAATGGGCGTGACTGCTTGGAAAAAAATCTTTAAAAATATTTTAAACTTTAAAAGTATTTTTAAAGAAGCCAGGCACTGGTGGCTCAAGTCTGTCAGCCTCTCAGGAGGCTGAGATCTGAGGATCACGGTTCAAAGACAGCCTGGGCAAGAAAGTCCGTGAGACTCTCATCTCCAATAAACCACTAGAAAACCGCAAGTGGTGCTGTGGCTCAAGCAACAGAGCGCTCGCCTTGAGCTGAAGAGCTGTAGAGCGCTCACCTTGAGCTGAAGAGCACGGGGACAGTGCCCAAGCCCAGAGTTTAAGCCCCAGGACCAACCAAAAAAACAAAAACAAAAAACAAAAATACTTTTAAACTATACCTATTGGTATCACATATTATTGTGGTATTTCCTATTTCTAGGACAGTGATGTGAAGGATACTGTTCGGTGCTCTCACTAAGTCCGCTTTTGGTGAATGAATATGAGTCTAGGCCATCCAGTGTATCTTCAGGACCGAAGGGAACTATGCATCCTGTCAGTGGAAAGCCTCTGAACTCAGCCTGTTCTGAATAGGATTTGGTTGAAACTTTGCATTGAAAATGACTTTGGTGTATTTTGAAGTTCTTTTTCCATGAAATCTTAGTCTGTAATTCTGTGTAATTGAAAATGATGCTTGAAGATAATTTTAATATTTATAATTTAATATATCAATAGTAATAAATTGATTTGTTAATAGTGGTATTATTTGAAGTAGTGAGCTTTCTCCCCTTTCTTTTCTCTTTAGCCCATTTTTCAGTGAAGAATTTTACTTTGAGATTCCACGAACTTTCCAGTATTTGTCTTTCTATGTCTATGATAAGAATGTTCTACAAAGAGACCTTCGTATAGGTAGGTATAATTCATCATTATTTTTAACTAACACATTGAGGTGCTATTATATTCTATAAATATTAAGTGTTAAGCTACAGAATGATAAATGTTTACTATTTCTAATCCTTTTCTCTAGATTTGGTGAGTATTTCTGACTTGGATTTTTAATTCGTGTGTTCAGCTTTGGTGGTATACCTCCGGAAGCCTTTTTGGTCCCAAGCCCCTGTGCTTGCTGAACTTGCTCCTTAGTTCACCATTTATGTCCAGAGAAGATAAATGTGGTACTTATGAAGGTAGAGATTATGTCTCAACGAGTGCCTAATTTGGTAAATGTTCAAAAAGCATTTGTTAAATGGTTCAACTTGAGATATTTTCATTGGTTAGGGTAGGAATAAGTAGAGTGCCATCTGCTGTTTGTTTGTTTATGTTGTTGTTGTTGTTTTTCTTTTGGGTCCGGTTGTGGGGCCTGAACTCTGGGCCTGGGCGCCGTCCCTCATCTCTTCAGCTCAAGGCTAGTGCTCTACCATTTGAGCCACAGCGCCACTTCCGGCTTTTTTCTTTTTGCTTATGTGGTGCTGAGGAATCGAACCCAGGGCCTTGAGCATGCAAGGCAAGCACTCTACCACTGAGCCACCTTCCCAGCCCATCTTTTTATCTTTTTTAAAAAAAATTCTGTTTTAATTTTTTTTCTAATAGAATAACATTCATTATAGAGTTTGTTCCTGTCTATATTGGTGACCAATAAATATATGTTTCTTTTTTTGTGGGGGAGGGGGCAATACTGACTTTGAACTCAGGGCCTGTACTTGGTGGGCAAGTGAGCCAACACTTCTAGTCCTCATCCCCCCCCCCTTTTTTTTAAATCAAATGTGATTGTTTTGCCTAAGTTAATCTTGAACGGATGGACTCAGGTGATTCTACATCAGCCTCCAAAGTAACTCCCACTACAGGCATGTACCAAGTCTACCCAGCTCTCCAGCATTCTTTCTTGTTAAATGTTAGCTTTTGTCTGCTATACACATAACAGATACTTGTTTTCTCTCATATAAGGCTTTTTTTTTTTGTTTTGTTTTTAATGATTGTTTATTGAAAGCCAAGGAAGTGATTCTCATAGTGTGTGTTTTCTTAAATGTGTCTATTTGCTTCCTAAACAAACATGCAGACTCTTTTGTTCTTTCTCCTGTTCTGGGGCTTGAACTCTGTTCAAGGCTAGCACTCTACCACTTGAGCCACAGCTTCACTTGTGGCTTTTTTTGGCAGTTAATTGGAGATAAGAGTCTCATAGACATTCTTACCTGGGCTGGCTTTGAACTGAGATCCTCAGAGCTTAGCCTTCCATGTAGCTAGGATTATAGGGATGAAGCATCAGGGCCCAGCTAGTGTTTCAGATTTTTTTTTTTTTTGTCGGTCGTGGGGCTTGAACTCTGGGCCTGGGCGATGTCCCTCAGCTCTTCATCTCAAGGCGAGCGCTCTACCACTTGAGCTACAGTGCCACTTCCGGTTTTCTGGTGGTTTATTGGAGATAGGAGTCTCATGGACTCTCCTGCCTGGGCTGGCTTTGAACCGCAATCCTCAGATCTCAGCCTCCTGAGTAGCTAGGATTACAGGCGTGAGCCACCAGCACCCGGCGTGTTTCAGATTTTTAAGTGTGAGAATATTTGTATAGATATTTTTCCAGATGAGCATTTATAGTCTGAAAATCCAAACTTTTAAATGTCGTGTTTGTGCTCAAAGCTAATTCTGTTTTGTGGGGTTTTAACAGACTACCTAAGTAGCAAAAGAAAGAACAGTAGGGCTGGGAAGGTGGCTTAGTGTAGAGTGCTTGCCTTGCATGCATGAGGCCCTGGGTTCGATTCCTCAGCACCACATAAGCAGAAAAAGCTGGAAGTGGTGCTGTGGCTCCAGTGGTAGAGCGCTAGCCTTGAGCTGAAGAGCTGAGGGACAGCACCCAGGCCCAGAGTTCAGGCCCCATGACTGGCAAAAAAAAAAAAAGAACAGTAATAAAGTGATACGAATTGGCACACTAGAAGATAAAATCAGTCTTAGATTTTTACTGTTTCTAATGGAATTCTGTATATAAATTATTGAGGAGGAAGGTGATAAAAGATGAAGCTGGTAATATATTGGGACTAGTCTCTGATAGACCTTAAAAACCATCCCAAACCTCAAAAGCTGTGGAATGTGGGTTTTATTCTATAAACAGTAGTTTTGAACCTTTTGAGAATGTAACTATGGCAGTGCATTCATGGCTAATATCTATAATCCTAGTTACTTGGGAGGATCAGGGTCCCAAGGCCAGCTTGGGAAGAAAAGGCCAAAAGACTGTGTCAACAGGAAGAAACCAGGTGCGTGATGGCATGTTCCTGTCATCTCAGATATGATGGGGAGCCAGAAATAGGCAGATCAAGGTCCAGCTATGTGATTGGACAGGAAGCAAGACCCTGCCTCAGAAATAATAGGCACATAAAAGGGCTGAGGGTGTGGCTGAGAAGGAGAGCACCAGCTTAGCCCAAGTACAAGACCCTGAGTTCAAACCCCAGCACTTCCCAGACCAAAAAGAAAATAGTACCTGTATACATTCTGTGGATTTATACATACGCACACACACATAATATACCTTGTGAAATCTAAATGCGCTGAGTGGATAGTTTCTAAGTTATAGGCATAGGAAGCTGCTGATAAGAACAGGCCATGGAGAGCAGTAAGGAGGCTTTTATCAATCAGGTAAGCTGGCTGGGGCAGCGGCAGTGAAAATGTGGAGGAGGGAATATGCCTCAGGTTTCCTATAGGACTCCGGGAGCAAGGAAGGGGCTGACGCAGATGTGACATGGTGGAGAGTTCACAGAGAGCTTGTCTACCACCCCACCAGTCCTGAGCTGAAGTAGGAAACACACAGGAACTTTCACTGGGTGTGGGGCATGTGAAAAGAGAAGAGGCTTTTATTTCAAAGAAGTTAAGGCTGTGTGACCTAGGGAACATCTTGGTGGACACACTTGTTGACAGCCGAGACACAGATGTGAAGCTTAGAGGAAAGAAGAGCTGGAGACTTGAAAACCGTGAGCCGTAAGTGAAGGTTGTGCGGGAAGGAGTGGAAATAACCTGGGAGCAGAGGGGGGCTTCAGGGAGAGAGACTTCTAGGAACATCCAGAAGGCATTCGTGATTTTCATTGTCTTTGTACACCTATTGTCATCTGCAGATAGCGCTTCTTGAAAGAGCCCTCACTTGAAACCCGTAGTTGTCATTTACCAAATAAAGGCCAGTTTTCAGTAAAACAACTTCCAGTAAATTTATTGTAAAAATTGTGTTGGTGTGAAGTTTTTTTCTTTAATTTTTATTACTAAGGCATAAAATGTCATCATTTCATGAGTTTGTTTTACCTTTTATTAAACATACCCTGTAAAGTACATACTGTGTAAAGTTGGAAATTAGCCTTGATTTTTTTTGGGGGGGGAGAGGGGGGGTCCGGTCGTGGGGCCTGAACTCTGGGCCTGGGCGCTGTCCCTCAGCTCTTCAGCTCAAGGCTAGCGCTCTACCACTTGAGCCACAGC